TAAAATGAAGCCACACGAAAAGTACTAGTTGTGACCTCCAAGTCAGTGTCCGCACTTGTTCACCTCTAGTTTACATTTCCCACTGCCCACTATTTATTCGTCTCTTGGCATCTGAGGGATGTCAATTCTAGGATCCCCTGTCAAACTAACATCCCAGGATGCTCCAATTCCTTGGATAAAACAGCAGAGAATTTGCATATAACTTATGCACATTCATACATATACTTTGTCACTTCTAGATTACTTGTAATACAACAGTGTAAGTACTATGTAAAGGGTTACAATATATTATTGAAGAAAGAGTGCTAATATGACAAGAAAAAAGTCTGTATGCTTTCAATACAGAAACAACCATCATAGGCCTAATTAAATATTATATGATCCTCTGTTGGTGGATCCCATAGATGCAGGGGCCCATCCGTATGTGGATATGAATCAACATCTTCCTAATAAATTCATGACTGTGATATGTTCCTGTCTTCTCAAGATTGACCTATTCATTTCTGCTAACCAAACACTGTCTTTGCTGAAGATTCACTTCCAATGTGAAATCTTTTTCCAACTAAAGTGAATTTTTCTGGACTTTCCTTTCCTCATCTGCAAAATGGCACATGAAATGAGGGAGTGTTTATCAGAGACTCTAACTAAATAAACATTGGTTTTTTGCAGGAAGGTTGAGGAGGGGAAGGAGCATGTGTCCCTCTGGTCCATACCCATTACCAAGAGCCCTGTCTTATTGGACCATGGACCTCAGGGACACTGAAAGTATATGTCCTTCTTCAGGACTCTTAAATGAAAAGGCACATTGTAAACATGAAACAGAAACCTATGGATGTGAGATATAAGAAGTGTAAGAACATACACAATTGGAGACTAGACAAGGGAGCAATACAGTCTGCTGTGGGGGTGAGGGTGCAGTTTTAGTTGACAAGTTTTCATGACATTTGGAGAATAGCAGAGATGATGAGGAAAGTTCCTGCAGGGAATGACTTGGTGTCTTTGGGTATCAGAGCCTACTTCAGTGCTAAGTACAGATAGGAGCTCAATAAATCATTTTCAGATGAATCCTATGACCCCTAAAATACATCTACTACTTGTCACACAATTTCTGTAACTGATATAAAGGGAAAACTATCTAAATTTAAAAGAGCCCTTACTTGGTGTTCTAAGATATGAATGAATTTTAAACTGGTGTTGAAAAATATCAAAAGCTGTTCAGTGCAAAGTGTTAAAACTCCAATTTGAGACTCAATCACCAGAGGCATTAACTGTGTCAAGGTGACATGTTAGTGGGACAAAGAGGAGGTCATCCAGATGTCCTTCTGTGGACTAGGTGGGGCAGGGTGAAGTGAGTATCCAAAGTTCTGGGCATCTGTTTGCCTGGTAGTGTTCTTTGAATACCAGTGGGGAACATTTGGATATTCCACTTATTATAGTAGATCATTCTTGTCCCAAATGAAAACATTCATCATTTAAACTCTTACCCAAAGTTCTCACATCTCTGGAGCCTGTTAAGAGAAAGAAACCAATTCAAACAGAACACATGAACTAATCTATAAACATATGAATCTTTGTTTCTTCTTCCTTTGCTCTGCTTGTTTATACTGTAATATTAATAAATGCAGCATTTTAATGAGCTTTGACTGAATTATCTTCAGAGAGTTGGTGCAGGGTTTTTCCTCCGAGATGTGTAAGTGAAGTTCCCAGTTTCTGGAGGGGAATCTCTTCCTCATTAGCTGGGACAGCTCGGAGTAGGAGGGCTCAGGAGGCGGGGAGCCACAGCAGGAGCCCACCTGTATTTCCACTCTGCCCTGCTGTGAGGTAAGCACAGGACTTTCATTACAAGTGTCAGGCGGGTTCCCCAGAGCAAGAGCTGATGGCACATCATGTTGGTGCCTCCAGAGGAGCAGCACTGACACCTACTAATAGTCTGACAAACGGTTAAGTGGCTGCCTGTGCTTGTGTTGAGGCATCAAGGGTGCCATACCTGAGCACATGTTCTCCTCACTTCACAGTCGGCGAAGAGGATATGTCTTCTGTGTGGGCTCAGGCCCCAGCCCCACACCCTGCAAAATACATCGCCAGAGTAACCCGCTTTGAAATAAGCAAGACTCCTTGTGGATGTGGATGGGTTTTTATGTGATTTTAATTTTGACTGCCTGCCATCTAAAACCTATTTTATGCTTAGGATGCTTTCCACGGTATGTCTTAGAGAAGAGGTTGGAAACCAGTTTCATTCACAGGAGGTGAAAAGCCAGTCCTCCCTTCCTGAGCCCTGGAGGTCGGCCATGGGTGGTTGGCCAGGCAGAGGTTCTTAGGAGGCCTCTAATCTGCATCAAGCCAGGGAAAGCAGCAGGAGAGAAGAATGTATAGTGGGAGCAGCCATGGTCAGGGATCAGGAACAGGTTCGTGGGGCCAGGATTCTGGGGAAGCGGAGGCCACATCAGGTTTTTTCCAGGATGGATAGTGGCTGAGTTTCTTGTGCATGAGCACTCTGTCTGGCAGTGATTTTTCAAGCCAGCTTTTGCAGAGATTCTGAGACTCATTTGATACTATTTTAATATTTTGATATTATTTAATTATGAATAAATTATTTTAATGCATTCCTTTTTAATTTAATTCCTTTAGGAAGAAACTAGAGATGAGCTGCATTAAGACAAGGATCTTTCCCATTGTTTGCAATTGAGAACTCTAACTTGCTCATTTGTGTCCACCCCTTGACCCTTGTCTGGTAGTCACTGTGATGATGGTCTTGACTTAAAAGCTTTGCCCAGGCCTCTAAGTGTCTGGGCCATGAGTCAGTACAACAAAGTCTCCAGTGTAGCACTCACCCTCACCCTTGTGCTGCTCTTTGTCTCCTCCTTTACTTTATTTTTAAAAAAATATCGTCCTCATGAAGACTCCTGCATATGTTGGCTGCTCTGTTGATGTGTGGTACCTTGAAGCTCCAGGTTATTATGTGAATATAGGATCAGTGATCTCTATGTTGGGTCACTAGCTCAAGAGGTGGGAGTGCTCCCTACATTAGGCCCTGGCCCGGGGCTCCTTGGTCATTTGTTGAAGAGGCATCCATTCTCGTGCCCCCAGCGAATTTAGCACAAGCTGCTTTGGAAAGTGCCAGTGTGCTGAGGAAGCAGGTGATGTGTTAATGTCCTTTGGACATTACAGAGTCATTCATTCTTGCCTTGGCAGCTCCAATTCATGATCCCTTTGCCAAACCTAACCAAAGGGAAGGGAATTTTTACTAACTCTCTGAGTTTAACTTTGGATATGGGATTCTTTGTTATTTTGTCTATGTATTTTGGATAATGTAGGAGATAGGGTGGTAAAAGGAGAGTTGGGATAGGAAAAGTAAGGGTTGTCCTCAGTTTTTTGAGTTACAAATAAGACCTCTGACTTATTTGATTGTATTACAGTCCTGTAGGTTTCATAGCAACGAAACTCTCATCCATGTAGTCTCTGTACAGACTGAGCGTACAGGATCATGTGTGCTGGTGACTGTTTGCACAAAACAAACTTTTAATCCCTAAAGGCCATTTTTATACTTTTCTGCACTTCTCCTCTCAGCTGTATAGAAGCCTATAGGTTTTCATAGGCCTCTAATTACTGGAGAGTAACTATCCCGATTGACAAGACAGAAAGCTAAAGAAGGAACCAGAGATGAGCTGTTTGGTTTTTTTGGGGGGGGTTGATTTTAATTCACATATAATGATAGTGTCATAACATTCTGTGTTGTTTTGATATTAAATCTTTGTATTTAGCATATTTATGACCTCACACATTTATCATTTTATAGTGAGAACATTCACAATCCTTTCTTCTTGCCATTTTGAAATATCCAATACAGTATTTGTTAGCTATTGCCAACCTACTGTGCAAGAGAAAACCAAAACGTATTCCATGGATGGTAACTTGGTACTTGTGAGCCAGTCTCTCCCTTCCTCCTCTCCCCTGGGGTCTCTGTGGCTTCTGGTAGCTGCTCCTCTACCCTCAGCTTCTGTGTGAACAGTTTCTTTAGATTCCACATATGAGCAGGATGGTGAGGTATTTGTCTCTCTGTGCCTGACTTTAACTTCATGTCCCCCAGGTTCACCCATGTTGCTGCAGATGACAACATCCCATCTTTTCTTTAAAGCTGAATATGGTTCCTTGACTTGTGTGCCACGTTTTCTTTCTCCACTCATCCATGCATGGATGTTTAGGTTGATTGCTTATCCTGACTATGGTTAATAGTGCTGCAATAACATTGGGAGTGCAGATATTTCTCCAGCACACTGATTTCATCATTCCTACTTTGGATGTGTAGCTTACCGTGGGATTGGTGAATCATATGGATGATTGTACAGCACAAATCTGCACTCACACTAACATTGAATACAAGTTCCCTTTTCTCCACATCCATACCACCGTTCATTACCTCGACTTCAGTAAAACAGCCATCCTAACAGGGGTGAGATGTTACCTCATGGTGACTTTTGTTTGCATTTCCCTGGTGAGTAATATTAAATATTTTCATATCTTTATTAACTGTTTATATGTATCTTCTTTTGAAAAATGTCTTTTCAGGTTTTCTGTTCATTTCAAAAATTAGATGATCATCATGATGATGGTGATGACTACTATTATTATTATCGTTAACATTATTCTTATTTTTCTCTTGAGTACATTTTAAAAATAAAGAAGTGAACACTCACAGGCCAAACTAGTAGGCCCACCTGTGAGACCTGTGCGATTATTGGCTTTCATTCATATCTGGCCCAGGAGGGGGTCGCATACCAGCTCCAATCCATTAAGATACTAAAGGCCAAACATTTGTAGGTGCCGCTTACCTACCTCCTGATTCCCACCCAATCTCCACAGACCTTGCTGCAAAAGGAGTCTCAATTTCATCTTTCAGCAAACGCACATTTATTGGTGTAAAAGTGCATGGCTTTTGTTCCCTTTGCTTTCACCCTTTTGAGAGTCATTCGTCTTTACCAGTGTCTGTATTCTCGTTCCAGGGAAGAGTGATCCTTTTTGCTTGCTGGAGTTAGGCAATGACCGACTTCAGACACACACCATTTACAAAAACCTCAACCCTGAGTGGAACAAAGTTTTTACATTGTAAGTGCTTTAGTCTCTGGATTCTAGAGGAGCAGCTTTAACTTACAGACCAATTATCTCTGATATCTTCGGGGCAGGCTGGGGCTCTTGAGTGGAACTTTCTGTCCAGTTTTATGTGCAAAGAGTGAATTTTATTGTTTTTCCCCTCTGAAAACCTTTTATCCTTTCATTTCATAGAGTGTGATGTTAATAATAGAAGAGATCCTTGGCAACTGCAAGGAAATGTTATAGGAGACATTGGTAAAAGAGTTCTTTTAGTGACTAACTCTGTGGGTAGATGAAAACATCTGTGTATCTAGATTAATTCATTCCTGGTTTAAGACAAGTTACAAATGGAGCCCTGCCTTAAGCTCAAGGAGCTTATGTATTAGAACATTAGTATAATGCCTGAAGGCTTGTATTCGGCCAGTCTCTTGGGAAGAACTGCTTATCTGTGAACCCTTGAAGACTCCCAAAGGCTTCCTCTGCTCCCATTTACCCGAGTGGCCCAGTCCATATCTAAATGCCAGATGTGGGCATTTAGGGGGCTAGATGTGTTTATGTTTCCTGGTTTGCTTTATATTTCAAGGCACCTGAACATCAAGGGGAGGCCCTTGTTGCATTTGGGTGAAATGACAGTATGTCACCCCCACGAAGCTGAATAAGTGCTTAGTCTATACTTAAAAGTGGAAAGCCAAGTATGTGTCTGGTGGAGTGGATGGCACTAGCAGGAGGTTCTCAAGGACCTGTGAGAAATAGATCATCTCTGGTAAACAGATCTGCCAATTTTGAGATGTAAAAGTCTCTTCATTTCCAAACAATTTGCTGATGGCTATGTCTCTATTTTTCAGTGTTGCTGGTATATGGCTTCCGGTCATTATTAAAAAATATATTTCTAAATATGCATGGGATTTTTGGTAGTTTGTATTGCCATAGTAGAAGGCCTTTTTTTTTTTTGTGGTACTGGGGATCAAACTCAGGACCTTGCACTCGCCAGGCAGGTTCAGTGTCGCTGAGCTACATCCCCAGCCATAGGAGGCTTTTTATGTATCTCAGCAAATACTAATTTTTCCAGGTTTTTTCAAAAGAGAATTCTTTTAATTTAAAGAAAATGTTACTTTCACTTTTATGATTTGGTAGCTACTTTGAAATTACTTTTCTGTCACTCTCCTCATTGTTTCCCTCCTTTTCCTCCTTCATCCTGTTTCTTTAATGGTCCCACCCTTGAATGTACCTTTATATAACACAGTGAAAAAGTTGACTTGATTTTTCTTTCCTGTGGATGTCTGAATCTGCTATGATGGAAGGCTTGGGAATACAGTCAATTTGATTTAATTTTTGGAATTTAATTAAATGGTAGTTTTATACTCTGAGGACACACAGACTTAATTAGTGAGACAGTGTTTTCAGATCTTCATGGAACAGGCTACACATGTGTGTATTTTATGTATAATTCCTGATATTTCTTGTTTCAGTCCCATTAAAGACATCCATGACATTTTGGAAGTGACAGTGTTTGATGAAGATGGAGATAAACCCCCTGATTTTCTTGGAAAAGTCGCCATTCCCTTGCTGTCTGTAAGTTCCTTTTGTTAGTCAACAACTTGTGACTCATTTTACAACTGATGACTTTCTACGGTCTATCCTTTCTTTCTGTCAGTCTGGGAGGCAAAAAAAAACAAAATCCTGGCTGTAGCTGAAAACAGTTTTACTCCTTATCCTTGTATTTCAGATATTAAGAAACATATTTTTATGTCAATCCAGTATTGATTTAATCACCCAAAATGTTTTGACCAGATTTTCAACTCATGATCAGGCTTCCTTTTCAGCTGAAGTTGAGGACTTCAATTCTATATCAAGGAATGTAGAACTATAATTGATTTTTGCTTCTATTAATGAAAAACATGCATGTATTTCTCTATGTCCTCTTTCTTCACATTTCTTTAAAGATTCATTGTTGGCGATTGCATGTTTGCTCTCAATTCTACTAAGGGCCATGTTCCCAAAAGTTTCATGTGCCCTTTAGTAGTAATGTTTGTTTTCAGTCTCAGAAAGGACATTGTGGAAGACAGCAAGAGGCCTGTCTTGGAGAAAGAAGTGTGTGTTGATAGTTCTGTTAAAAGATAATTCAGGGTGAGTCAGGAGAAAAAGAGGACTGAAAAAAAAGTTTATGCAGTGCGGAAGAAAGAACATCAAAGCATGCAAATAAGAGCGAAGGATGAAAGCTGGGGAGTGATTCCTCTATTAATGTGCTCTAGAAGAAAGAATTTGGTTTTTCATCCAACCAAATTCATTTGGTCCCAGAATCATTATGATTTCATCAGCTAATGAGACTTTATTTCTTCCCAAAGACTTATTTTTTTCAAATCTTTGTACATTTTTGTGGATGGAGCACTCTGTAATTTCACCACACGATGAGTCTAACTTGCAAAGTGTTTACAGAGCGGGGAACTCTGTGCCTCTTAATATCTCTTCGTCTGTTTTTGATCGCTTGGTTAATTTCTCCCCAAGTTCTCATATCCCTGATGTTACTCCAAGTGCCTGCGTGGAGCATCTGCTCCCTGATACAGCCGGCTCCTGCCAAATGCTCTGAGCCATTGGTGGCAGGCTGCAGGGCCACAGAGAGGAGAGAATAATATGGGATTTCCCCCCTTTTTTATTACAACTTTGTCACTTATTCCTGAAAGGATATACATAACAGGAATATGAGGCACACTTTCAAGATGTCTAAAGGGACCACAGAAAACTATTCCTTTACAGTTCAGCTCAGTTCCCCTCCCTCCCTCTTCCCTCTCTCTCTCTGTCTGTCTGTCTCTCTCTCTCTCATGTATAAATCTTAGTAGCATATTTTGTTTCTTACTAGAATATACTTGGGGTTTTTTTGAAAAGCCACTTCTATCTTGCTTATAAAAGTTTTGCATGTTTGGCATTTCTATACTACTACCAACAACTGACTGATGGCACAGTCCTTGCTTTCTTCTCTCCTTCTCTCTGCTTGGCAGAGCTGAAAACATTACCACCAGCTAAATCAGACTACCTCATCTTTGGCACTATTAGCATTTGGAGCCAGGGCATGCTTTGCTATGTGGTGCTTTCCTGCACATTTCAGAATGTCTAGAAGCCTCCCGGTCTTCTCTGCACTCGAAGAGAGCGGCCCCTGCCAGCCACTGCTACTGTGACAATGTAAGACGTCCACAGACACTACCAAAAGTCCTTAGCAGAGGAGAAATCACACCTACTGGAGAACTGTTGACCCAAATTAATGCATTTTTCAAAACATTCTTCCAAAACACAAGGTAGAATGCTTTGGGAAAGACTTAATTTCAACATAGGCAGCTTCCCACCCTGGTCAGTTTTCAGGTTGGTGGTAGGGCTTCTCCAAAGTCTGGCAATCATTCATTTATTCACCAAATATTGATCAAGTGGCACCTGTGTGCCAAGCACTGGTTTAGGTGACAGTATTCTAAGCACAAGGACACTCCCTCCTCATTGGAATTTATATTGTGGTTTCAAGATGCAAGAAAGATTATGCCTAAAACAATGCAAAAACAATGTACAGTATGCTAGATGGTGACAGTGTAGGTTGGGGAGGGGCACTGGGAATACAATACGGATGGGGACAATTTTCTGTGGCTGACCAGTGAAGGCCTCACAGAATGGGGACAATGAGTGCGACTTACAGAGGCGAGGCGAGGGAGTCAGCTATGTGGTGATCTGGGGAAGGGTCGAGGCAGGAAATCTTCAAGGTCAGAAGCTCTCAGACTGTCAAATTCCAAAAAGGTCTGAGTAGGCAGTGTAGATGGAATGGAGTGAGCAGGTGGAGAAGGGCGGATTGGAATGGAATGGGGCAAGCAGGAAAGAATCCTGAAAGAGTTGGAAAGCTGAAAAGTTTGAAGAACTTTGGCTTTTTCTTAGAGGAGAAGCACCGGGTTTTGTTTGTTTTACATTGCTTTTTTCATAACAAAAATGAGCTATGGCATATCAAGAAATATATCCCATTGTGAAAGATCTCTGCTTTGAAAGGTGTGCAGCCTGTGTTCTTGAGGACTTCTTCTGGTGCCTGTAAAAGTGCACTGAGTAGGGTGCTTCGGCTGCTGCTGTTCACTGTGCTGGGTTCCCTTCAGATTCACCTTGGATTCCTTGACTGATAATTTGAGGAAATAATTGAACCTCACATTGGATCTGCATGCACTCTACGTGGCATTTGGAGGTCCTCCTGCAAATAGCCTCTCCAGCCTAAATGACCCCCGTGTCACAAGTATATATAAATATGACTTTATTGTTTCAAAGTTGTATGAGTACATACTTGCCAGATATAGTGGTTACACCCATCGTGAAGAGTTGGTACTTGTAGGTAACACATCTTAGTTACTTTTACTAACTCTTCCTCTCTCCTCTCTTCTGCTTCTCCATCTTTTGGTATAACTATGACTTTAAAACTGTTATAAACTTCATTATAATTGGCAAGCTGCCAGCTCATTGATTATTTCATTAATTGTTTAATTTTCACATACTTCTGAGTTGTGGTTTAGTGTGTATGTTTTAAAATCTACTTATTTAGATGGAGAGAGAGAGCCACTTAATGCTCAAGCTTAGTACTGTGTACCTAATATGATGAGGCATGCTTTATTATGCCGATTTACAAATTAGGAAACTGAGGCACCGACTAGATCCTGTCTCTGGTAAGTAATAGAAGCAGGATTTTAATTTGGGCAGTCTGGTATCGGAGGCTGAGCTCCTAAGAGTTTGCTAGGCTGCCGCAGTGAGTTCCATTAAATGAATATCCTGCTGGAAACAAGGATAAGATTTGGTTGTGAGCTCCTGCTGGTGTGCAGGAGAAACACAGACTGGACAGTTGCATACCTTGCTGGGGGACACCTGGGTAATGGTCCCCCAAGGTCTAAAATAGCAAGTGCCATACCCAGGAGAGGACCAATGCAATGAGAAGGAGGGTTGGATTTAAGAAGATTTTAAGAAGCAAGGAGCTTAAACTGGGTCAGAAAGGAGGGGGGTGTCTGTTGCACTGGTGAGTACACCGAGGAATAGGTCCTTGCAAGCAGAGGGCAAAGTGTGAGCGACGAAGTATGGGTGCAGGGGGAAGACTGTGTTCTGGAACAAGGAAGATCTAGGTGCCTGGAGCTCAGGTTGAGGGTGGAAGTGGAGGAGGAGGACAGAAGGCAGCTGCGGGAGGGTTGCAGAAGGTTGGGGTTTATTGTATAATAGGGAGGCACTGCAGGGTCTTGACCTAGGGATGGGGATATCAGAGTACAATGGGCCCTTGACTTATGAACTCAATCAGTTCCTGGGGGCTAGTTTTAACTAAGTCAATACAGCTGAGATCTGGATGTTTACCTGGGTACGCGCTATGGATAACAAGGGGCAGATGAATCTGCCATGAACCTAATTAACTCAATTTGTTTGTATGTCAGGCCGGTCGTAACTTGAGGGTCCACTGCAAATCCCATAGGAATTGGTCAAAATAGCCAGAATTAAGCATCAGATCCCCCTTAGGTTCACCTTGTGTGCTTCTTCTGAGAAGGACTTAATTTCTCTGCTGCTGTCGTTTTTAATATGAGAAACAATCATAAGCATTGATTCATTACTTTTTCACAGGACACAGAATGGTATACCACCATACACAATTTTATATTTAAAAATCGAAAATGTTTGCAATTGAACAACCATTGAATGAGAATAGTTTTGTAGGAATACATTTCCTTTAAGTCATAAATTTGATTTAGATTTTTGGAGACAGTGCAAATTACATTTTAAATGATCTAAGCACAAAGTATAGAATGTACTTTAACTTTTACTCAAAATGTTAATGTGTTAAGTGCATTTAAACCTGTTGAAAAGGCTGTTCTAAACTCACTATATCTCTTTAAATCAGGGTTAAAGTGCTAGTTGAATATTGGCTCATTTAAAATCCACATACTAAAATAACTAACTAGTAGTGCTGAACTGTTCAAGACATATAGGCATTTTTAGATGTACAGCAGAATTAAAAGAATGCAGGCCAATGAGCTATCCTTCCATAAATTCTCTCTTCAGTTTTCAGAATAGTTGTTTTTAATGATCCTACAGATATGCAAAACTCTTTAATCAAATACCCATGATTAAGCACTATAGAAAATTGAGATTGAAATGCATTAAAATCTGAAGGCTTCTAATATTTGCTCATTTTCATATTGCTCCTCTAATTTTTTAATCAGTAGCATAGTAAATATGCACTGAAAAGCAGTAAGTACATTTCTGAGTTTTAAAATACTTTGGGCATAGACAATATCTCCTAGTAATGAGCTGATTCAATATATATATATTTAACATGTCTATCCTCAATTAAGTGATTGTAACTCTGAAAATTAGGCTGGATGTTTCTCCCGAAGGTCAGTCTGTTTTATTCAGTCATATTGTCACTTTCAGAATTATCTAATGGATCAATTTAAGAAGACTAAACTTGATCGAGTGACTCGCTCTGTAATGTAGGAAAGCATGTTTTTATCCTTAGTTCCTAATAGCCAAGGAAAAAGTCATTTGAGCTTGATGAGGACCTGAATTTTGAGACACATTTGGATTCT